TTTCCCTAGTTTCGAAGAAGAGCGATATCTGGAATTTCGTCTTCCGAATTATCTCCCGTCAAACAAACATTTGCCTCGTTTATTATTAAATTATAAGAAATAATAATTACAAATTATATAAGACTCTTTTTATGCCTCGTACATAAATTCCTCATTAAATATATTATAAAAAAAATATTGATAAAATAATATGTCGCGCGTGTTCACGACGTTCATTATCTATAATCGTAAGACAATCTTTGTACATATTAATTATCTCTATTGATTTACTTGAATGAACGTAATTGTTTTACGTTCGCAAATTGTTAACATTTCCGAAATGTGAATTTCGCTACAATTTTTATAAGCTGTCTGTATTATTTCGCGCTTCTTATCGGCCCGTATTGCGTCTCATTACAATTCCACGCGAAGTGTGCATTTTAACTTTTTATTTATGCAGTGCTCCGTGACCTGTGGCACCGGAATACGGACGAGGACGATCGAATGCAGAGACGGTGTTGGTGCCATCTCCAGGGACTGCGACCCCGCGGAACGTCCTCATACCGAACAGGAATGCAAGACGAGCGTCGCTTGTCCCATGTGTAATTGCGTTATTTCTGAGTTAAACTCGTATTGGATCGCGAACGGCAATTTAACGTGCCATAAGCGACGATATCTGAAAATTCATATGCAATATTCCATAAACTAATTACGCGGAGAATCAGAGACGGATCTATATGAAAACTAATGAAATTTCAGCTCCTCAAGTTCCGAAGTCTGTCAAAGGGATTTCATATCCAATAAATTTCTCAAGGAACAATTGTCAATATTCTTAGATTACTTATCGAATATAATTTTGACACACATTTCTTTCGAAAAGCGTTTTTATGTTCCTGATAAAAATTTCTTCAAAATTATTACGTTCAGGACTTGCAAGTCGACTTGCTTTGAAATACGATACTAATTTTCAGATTCAAAATATTGCAATAATAAAAAACAAATTTTTTTTATTAGTGCCAAGTATTTTTTTAGATTATATTAAGTTTTATGATATTGTTGTTGGTCGAATACAGCGTGTTATTTATTGGTCGAGTAATATAGCAAAGGTTCGACAATTTATAAACTGAGGATTTGACGGGCTTTATCGTGCGGAACAAACTTTAGAAATAAAGTCCCGGACGAGCCAGAAAAATATCGGGAGACGCGGTTATCGTGTGCAAAGGGAATATGCATAGAAAATGAGATGGCATACGAAATGTTATTTAGATGGAGACGGTATGACGCAGCCCCTGGTGCAACAGTATCCGCTATCACCGGTGTCGGAGAAGTTGATGGACCAGCCAGTACCTTCCGAATCAACGTAAGTAGTACTTTCCAATATATCCTATATATACTGCATACATACACACACACACACACACACACACACACACACACATATACATATACTGTATACAATTTACATCAGTGTTTTTAACTGTCGAGTATTTTACAATGTATTGATTATAAATCTTATTAAATTCCATTCCATTTTAAACAATTGTTATGCACGGGTAAATAAAAAATCTAACATAACAACAAGCCAATCTGGTAGACAGAAATAGAAAATGATGAGAAAAGCGGATCGAAAAATTACATATGTAATTATAGCCAAATTAGTGCAACATTAAAGATTTTTCCCTTATATTCATAATTAAATTTATATTATCAAATTATAAATAGATTTATTTATAACGGTTGAAATTGAAAAGTATTTCGTAAATTTATCTCGATGGGTACAGATGGATAACGTACTTTTATTTTTTTTCTACAATGAAATTCGAAAAACATAAATATATCTTGTTTGATTTAATTTAAGACCCAATTTAGATAACCTTCGCAAATCCACCAAACGATTAATTCATTAGATTTTTGGTTCGTATTAACTTTCCGTTTCACTATAATCCTCGCGGAATATGTAATATCGATCGCAATTCGAGAACAATGATAGCAGCTTTAGAACAGCCATTACCACCGTAGCGAAATTCCATAAGATGTTGGACCTAGATTCTCTTCAGTCAGCGCTTATAACTTTCTCTGTGTGGTACTATCTGACAATTTCCTCGTAGCTTTAGCACCTATAACGCGTTATTTAACCCTTCCGTTATCAAAACGATTTCATCTGTCATAAATGTATTTTGTACGAGGATGAGTGAGGACAAAATTTCAGCTGCGTTTATTTAAGCATAGTCGTATTAGCGTAATTATCTAATCCTTCCTAAATAAAACTATAATTATTTAAATTACTTAAAATTTATTGTCTTCTAAAGGATTTTTGTTTCCTTTTACCCGAAAAAGAGAGATTTCAAATAATTTCCAATAAATATAGCTTAACGGAATTTGATATATATCTTAAAAAAAAAAATGTATCTCCGGATTCAGAAAGCATTGATGTGAAATAACATTGTTAACGATATACACCGAAATCCTTTTTAAATTAGTAAAATAAATCGAAGCATTTGTGGCTAACAAATTACTTACTGACGTGAAAAATTATCCACCCACAAATCAATTAGAATGCTTTGAATGAGAATTGTATTGAATATACAATAGAAACATATACAATAGAAATAAATATACATTATATACAGAAACATAATAAACGTGTGAAACAATATTCATTTAATTTCCATTGGAAATATGGTATTTGTTGAATAAATAAAGATATTGAAAGTAATGTAATGAAGGTACGAAATTTCATTAATTAAATCTCTCTTACATACACACACACATGTACAATATTGATTTAAATCATATTAAAATAATGTCATTATAGCATAATGTGCTTGAAAAAAAGAATGAATGTACATTCAAGTACTTTATTTAATCTGAGTATTATTGTGGATATTTCTGCTAGGATTACAGTTGATATAATAAATGTCCAATGCATCTCTTTACATCATTATCTTTACACATACATACTCGCATATATTAAATCTAATAATATAATATTTGCATGTATGTGTATATGACTCCCAATGATGTAAATTATCATATCAAATTAAAAACAGAGATATAAATTATTATAAAATATTGTAATAATAAGGCACACATGTGTATATAGTGTTTGTAAGCTATACGTCAAATATCTATTAAGCACAGTCTCGATTGAATTTGAAGATTGTCTTTTATCAGTAGAAAAAAAATCAGATATTTTTCTACAGTCGCATATTTTAAATAAAAAATATTTTATATACGCTTTAAATCTTTCTCTTAAGTGCTCGTACCGAAAGTGGGTTACAAATCTTGCGCGCCCATCACATTTTTCATCCTTCCGTGACCTAAAATCCCAGTTACCGGAGTTTTCGGCCGGATGCATCTTTTTATCATGTTATATCTTATGCCAATCCGGGAGATATCAATTTAGAGATTTTTGGATTTTAGGTATATAGCCGAGGAATGGTCCCCTTGCAGCGTCACCTGCGGCGAGGGTGTCAGGCATAGGGAGGTACGTTGCAAGATATTCCTCGAGTTCAGTCAAACCATCGCCAAACTGCCCGACAACCAGTGTTCCGGTCAGAAACCCGCCGAGACGGAGAAGTGCACGATGGAGCCGTGCGGCTTATTGGAAAACAGTTTGTCCTACAGGATCGACACGATCGGTGACAGCGGATACGCCGAGTCGAGTTTGACAGATACATATAGTAGATCATCGTCGGGCAGTTCCGTCGGAAGCGGCTACGACAGCGGCATCAAAGTCGCCCCGGGTAGCGAGGTACAGACTACATACTCGTGGAAGGAAACTGGCTATACCCCCTGCAGCGCTACTTGCTTAGGAGGTAACGAACACGCGACTGACTATTGTTTGCCAAGATTGCTTCTGATATTCCAGCATGTATCGAACGGATAAGAGATCACCACCCGGGTGATCCGGATTTCAAATTCGACCCGTTATATATGGATTTTAAGTGATGGATAACTTCCATTGAAACTTGCTTTAAATACGTTGATCTTTTATTATGAAATGAGGAAAACAGAAAGTTTAGAAGATTATTGATTTATTTTTTAAAAAGTATTCATGAATTCTTATATATATCTTACGCTCGAATAAAATTCGATTCTATATAAATTCATTCAATTTTATATAAATTCATATAAAGATTCTTTCTCTAAAAAATTATATAGTTTTTAAAACTTAAAATCCTATACTTTTGCTACATTTAAATATACATTTTCATATTTTCATTAGATGAGATACATCTTAATATCTTTTAATTAGTAAAATTTAATTTTTCTTATTTTGCTATTCCATGATTTTTTATACAGTGTTTATAAACGAAACACGAGAGCATTACATAGATTGTGCAAAGCTGGCATGAATCGTTTATCGAATAGGATTAGCGAAACGAATTTAATTCGTCGACATAGCCTGGCAAAATCGATGTCATTGTGCAATTAACAGCGCTCAAGTATAATCGTATTAAGATTAGTCTGTGTCGACTAACACGATACAAAGGGTGAATGTACGGTCCGGGAAGATTATCTGTAGTTTACGGCGGATTCTGTGTGTACGTATTATGCATACATACATCTCTTTTATAGGTGTTCAGGATCTTATTATAAACTGCGTGCGTGACGATACAGGGAAAACTGTGACGCCGCTTTTATGCACCGCGGAAACGAAACCAGAGGCAAGGATACGAGTTTGTAACGATCATCCGTGTCCGCCCAGGTAAAGTAATTGCAACTAATATTGATCAACAGATATCGATCTAATGCTTAAATGTTAAAATATATTTCATTACATAATGCTCGTATAATCCCAGGTATACTCTGCTATAATATCATGGTAATTTAGACTATCAAACGTATCAACTTTCGCTCTCGTTTGTAACACAAAGGATTTTTTTTCATTAAATATTTAATTTTCTTAGCGAGAGAAACGAAGTACGGTTTTATGAATATCATTGTTCCGCGTATGTTAATATTATGAGAAACAAAAATTTAGAGAAGAAAAAAATCGTCTATTTCGACGATGCTATTTATTCTCTTTTTCTCATTCTATAATCTTTTTATTTTCTTATCCCATCTTTAAAATATGTAAAATATTCGAATAATATATGTTTACACATAACATATATATTATTATGTAAACTTGTGTAACTTGCTATACATGTGTGGTTGACAAAAAGTGTAATTATACTATGATGCACAGACAACTCTTTCAGACATATTTCCGCGTTATCTTTCCTGACAAATTATCTGCGTCCACAGGTGGAACTATAGCGAATTCTCCACATGCATGAGCCCCTGCGGTATTGGTATACAGACACGTGATGTTACCTGCATCCACGAGGTGACACACGGCACCGGCAAAGCAGTGCCCGTTCCAAATTACATGTGTCCGCAACCACCGCCCGCCGACAGACGATACTGCAATGTCTGGGATTGTCCTATCAAGTGGAACATGGGGGAATGGGGCAAGGTATATACATATATTTGTACATATTGTGTGTACGGATTTAATATAATAAAGGGGGAAAAAACTCTTTGTTATATACACATGAAGCGGAATAGCGGTGCAAATTATTCTCATCATGCGGCAAATCACAATTTTATAATAAAAGTATTTAATGTATAAGAATGTGAAGAACAACTATATTCATAGTTTTGTAAAAAGAAAAATCTCTAATCTCATACCCATACATACATCTCAAAGTAATTACGCGCGGAAATTGAAAAATTTAAACAGTATGGATGTTTCAACCATTTTTATTAATTTCTAGCATTATTTTCCATAACAAATTTTTTTATCTTACATATTAAATTATCTATTTAAAATTTCAAGATTACAGCTGTCTGATATTTTATGTTTATTTATATTGAGATAAAGTATATTTGAAAACTCTCTAAACTTTTCCGACAACTTGAATTAATGGGATAATTTTAGTGTTCAAAAACGTGCGGCGGTGGTGTGAAAAGGCGAGATGTAGTCTGCGAACAAATAATGGCGCAAGGTCGCAAACAGAGTCGCGAGGAACGTGAATGTCCAACTCAAAAGCCACCCAACGAGAAACCTTGCAATACCAGAGCCTGTCACGATTCAGATTTAAGTGTGCTGCCAATAATCACTAGTTTGAACACGACGTACAATCAAACGGATATCAATGCGAAGGTGGATTTAAAAATCGGCGGAATCGCCAAGATTTTTCATGGGACACCTTCTATCAAAATTCGCTGTCCTGTCAGAAAGTTCGACAAGTAAGTGCAAGCTTTGCGGTTTTATTAGAATAATATCTATGCGTTTAGGATAGATGCATAATAATAATGGTATCAGAGCGCAGATCGTATGGACGAAAGATAACAAAGAGATACGGAAATCAAGAAAGTACAAAATTAGCAGGAAGGGAGCTTTGAAGATAATCGATATAGTTTCTTCGGATTCAGGGATATACGCTTGTATTGGTAAACGATCTGTCTCGCCTATCATATTCTACGTTTTATCTCGATTTCGATATATGTATTACTATGAAAAATGCAATGGTAATTTTCTAGCTGGAGATTCGCACGCAGAAACGCAGTTGATAGTGAAATTTCGCTCCAAAGAGCAGATAAGTAGTGAGGAATATTTACGACTCGGCAATTCTGTTCACCTACAACGGAACGCGAATCTGGATTCTGCACCAGCGAATTCGGGTGAAAGCCCATACGATCATGCAGGTGAGAGAAATATACGAACTTTTATAAAAAAAAGTATTTTTTGCTTAAAATAAAAAAATAAAAATAAAAATAACAATAAACAATTTTGTCGAAGCTTTAGACATTTCTGCCTATCTCAAAATATTATTTTGAAAAGATCAAGAAATGAAATCATATCTATCTTTTGAAAAAATGATAAAATTACAAAATTATAAATTCTAAAAATGATGAAAATTGTTAGTAACAAATATTTAGTTTCACAATATTGATCTTTTTTTGTAGCGGTCTATGGAAACCGTTTCGACAGCGAGGATCTCAGTCATGAACGTGCATTTACTAGCAAACCAACCGCAAGAAAAACGCAAAAAAAGCAAAAAACTAGTCCCGCTCCGTCAGACGCCACAATGATGCAAAAAGAACACACTGTTACCTCTTTCAATCAGGTACACGAGAAAACAGATTCTAGTATCAAAAATTGTCTCTTACGACGCTAATTCTTTGCGTGTATCTTGATATTGCTTAACAAATCACGTACGCATGAAACTTATTAAACTAACTTTTTGGTGATGGTTCTTATATTCTTTGCTTTGCACTCGTGGATTAACTTTCCTTGGTGTCGACTATTCGATATTTGACTATCAATCAGCCGGGATATCATGAATCTGTGGAGTCACCCGCTCCGTCAAGTGCTTCTGCTCTTGTGCCACACTTGAGCTATTTGGTATCGAGCTTGAAGGTAAGATGTTAACATGTGAGCAAACTTGACGAACATGTGACGCGGGTCTGTCTATTTGTATTTGTATTTCTACCGCTACTGTATAATAAATTTTCGACATTTTACTCTCTCGACATACATTCGTTACATTCTGTCAAATTTAATGTTCGATATTAACGCGCTTTATGACAGGCCTATTGGCCGTTTCGCAGCGAAATAGTCACGAGTAATAATCACAAGGCCGTTACCACATCATTCGGAGATGAACATAAAGGATCGGCGGCGACGAAGCACAGAATGTCTAATAGGAAGACCGACTTCGTGTATCAAAATCTCGAAGATAACTTTGACAGTATGTATCGCAACACAGCCATTCCCGATGAGACCTTTGGCCCAGACGAAGAGCGGATATTCATCGACGTCGATCCCTACGACCTGAATGAATCTATATTCGGGCTACAAAACGGCGATGATGTCAAGTCGACCTCTCATGTAATGGAGAAAGTGGATACCGAGGTTAATACGAACTCTGATATTGATTATATCGAGGAATCGCTAAAAAATGTGAAACGGCAATGGCAAGAGTCGCGAAACGAGTACAAAGATCAATGGAGTACCACGCCCAAAAGTCACGTTCAGAGTAGAGTTATGACCGAGTCCGTCACGTCTCCTCGAAACAGTGGAATGAACGTGTATTATGTCGAAGAGTCGAGCACGAGAAAGGAAATATTCAAGGAGGGGAGTAGTCTTATTGACGATAGTGAGAAGTCCATCAATCACGACGCCTATGGAAACTTGAGAACTAAAGATTCATCGATCATCACTTCGACAATGATGTCTAGAAGTCTCGAGGATCAGTTAAAGATACCAGAATCAAACCATCGTAGTTTAAACCGCGCAAATAGGACAATTGAATATAGTGATGCATTTGAAGAGGAGTTGGATAAGCGAAAAATCGAACCGTATGTGGAAAATCATACGACAGCAGATTATACAATCGTACGATTTCCGGCTATTAGTAGAGATCTGGAAAATAGAGCGAAAGATGACGCGACGTTGATAGATGATTGGAAGTCGCGGATGTTGGAAGTTGTTGGGGAAGATCCCGATAAAGACGTAAAAAACTTATCTCGCAATCGAGAGGATCATGCTGATTCTGTAGAGAAGACCTCTTTAGTTAATCTAAAAGAGACCTTTATAGAAAGACAACGTTCGGCCGATGAAGATAAGCCCGCGAACGTTTTGACCTCCACTATAACGAAAGAAGACAATACAACGAAGGATCCTTTTGTGGAATCACTCGCTGTATTAGGTAAGACTCTTGATTTGATGAGTTATATTGCCTTGATGATGGTTAAGTGGTTCAATAATTAAACGAAGGACTTATAATGCAGCTACGGACAATGTTCTGGTGTTCGAATGGATCACGACCGACTGGTCGAAATGTTCTCAAACTTGCGGAGGAAGCGGATTCCAGGTAAGTTTTTCCGTGATTAACTTCCGTGATTAACAGGTAAGATCGTGATTAATTTTAATTGAAAAAATTAATAATCTTTAAGTTTATTAAAGAAAAAAATTTGTAACATGGTTAATATCGTTGTTAAGCAGCTATCTAAAAAATACTTGAAAATAAGTAATGTTTAAAAACGTTAAAATATTCTTGATACATATTACAAATATATTTGCTCATTTTATTTATTTTTTTTTTTTTTCCTTTTACATAATACTATCTTTAAATCGTATCGAAATAGATTCATATAAACAAGTAATATGTTAAAAATAACAATCTACAACAAACATTATAATAACGAAAAATTACTTATTACGAGACGTTTATTTTCACAGATGCGAGGTGCACAATGTACAGTACGATCAAAGAAATTGGACGGCGACTCCAAGCCTTTTTCGCCGGCAACAGTTATCGGTCAAAAGTTATGCGAGGACGCCGGACATCCCGTACCTCAGAAGGTGAGACCCTGCGGAAGAGGCAGGTGTCCTCAATGGCATGCCACCGAGTGGACCCCATGCGAAATGTCGAGATGCTTCAATTGGAAGACGGCGATGCAGAAACGAGATGTTAGCTGCCGCTTGGTGTACGATACGGAAGAGGACAGTCAAAAGAATTTCACATTGGTAGATCCGGGCAAGTGCGATGAAACCACGAAGCCGTTACAAAGACAGGAATGCTACAATGACGCTTGTAAAGGTGTCTGGAGAGTCGGCGAATGGACTGAGGTAAATAAGATTAAAAATGTGATGCGATAATAGCAATGTTTACGCTAATGATATTATCTAACATTGCACAGTGCACTGCGTCTTGCGAAGAAGATGGTATTAAATATAGGATTCTACAATGCGTATGGTTTGGCACAAAAAAGCCGGCGGGAAACGCCTGTAGAGATATACCACGACCTCCTGTAATGAAAACATGCAGAGGTCCGCCTTGTCCTCAATCTCCCGGTAAGTTTTCCTGAGAGATATATCAATTCTTAAGATTTTTAACCTGTATACTAATCTATTTAGTTATTTTAATTGTTGTTATGCTAATATTAATTTCTCTCAATTCTTTGATAACGTAGAATGGCTAATATTAATGATAACGATAACATTGTTTCGTTCACAATATTTGCAGAAGATTGCAAGGACCATTCGCAATTGTGCAGCAGAGTGAAAATAATGAACATGTGCAAGGTGCCGCTATACAAGAAACAGTGCTGCGCGTCGTGTCACTAAGAATCTGAGAAAAATTAATCGTAAGTGACTCATTGTGACAAAATGAGCGATAATGAAACAGTGCGCGTGAGACAGAGAATGCAAATCGTGATTAGTCGGACAATTACCTGACATATGTAAACGCACCCGGGATGCCTGTTAGTAAAATTATGTAATGCACATGAAAGGAGCGCGCGAATTACTGTGAAATAATATATTGCACGGTTATTGCGATGTCCGATTTATATAGATAAAAAATATTCAACAAAGAAGTTGACCAAAACTACTTCGCTGTAATAGTTTCCTCGTCGTATCGTCGCGAGAACTCATTCACCTCCTTGCCTCGAATGTTCCTCATGTAATAAAGAAAAACCCGCCAATCTTAACACAATTTCTAACTAATTAAATCATAATTTTCTAAGGTATATCACACATAGTTTGGAGCGATTCCTTATAATTGCACACTTATATTGCCCCTGGTTAAAAAAAAGAAAATGAAAATCTAGTATTCGTCCAAGAAAGATGAGAACGTTATATTGTTATAGTTTGATGAGAAAAAGAGAACACTAGAAACTTATTTGCTATGTGGAAAGAACGTTATTACGATATACCATTGAAAATAACACGTTATTAAATGTTATCAATGTTGTTGCTTTAAATCGGACGGAAAATGGCTTTAAGCAGAATTATATTTAAATTGTAATAAAACGCTAAGAATCTGAAAAGTTGGAAAGTCACAATTTATTTATATCGCAAGACATTAGAAACATTCCTTCTTGTGATTTATCTTTTACATATCTTTTCTACGATAAACATATTGATTTCATTGATTTCATTTATTTCTAAAGCAAAGAAAAATTATCTTTAAGACTAAAACGTTTGTCTCTTTGCATATCATTATTTTTGGGCATTAATATAAGAATCTCGTTATATGTTCCAAAGAAAATCATTTTACATTACATATTATAAATTAATAGGAATATATATTTCCGCTTTGTCTTTATAAACACATATATTCAATATCAATATATTATCTTTCTTTATGTTTGTAGATTCCGTTATAAATTATTGTGGACGTAAGATATAAAGTTATTTAAAAATATAAGTTATGAATGAATTATATTATGCGCCTATATAAATGTCCCGTCGGGCGATCTCTTAAGCCAATAGATCCTAAGAGCAATAAAAAATATATAAGTATTGTAATATAATATTTTGTTAATAATCTCTGGCGAAAATTCGTGAACATGACTGTTCCGTTGTTGGTTAAAGGACCCGACTTTAATTATGTGTCTCTAATCACTTCAATCTAGACGTTATCACGTGTAATTATGAATATTTATTTATCGCGCATTTATATTTATAGAACTCATCGATAAAATTTATAACTCGATATTTTGAATAAGAGTGAAATAAGAATTAAATGTCTATATATTAATATGATTTGATAAGATTGTGAACAGATTTTCGCTATCAACGAATTTGCCTCGACACAACTAAGCAGTTTGCCAAAACGAGCTGACGTAAATAAAATAAATTAAAATAAATTAGAGTAAAATATATAAATTAAAATCAAGAGAGATAAAAGGTATATTATGAGCTACACATATAAATTACCGAAATGCAAGCATATGTGAATACGACTTTATATATGTTAGTATATAAATGAAACTAAAATATACAGTGAATAACTTTGAGTACACTGGATGCAACAAAAGCCGAAATATTTCTCTTAATAACGCATTCCTTATATAATTGAGAGATAATACACGACTTTTAATACATCCTCTATAAACGATTACAGCTGGCAATATATGTAAACTATCATCAACTTGCCATATCGTGTATATCACTGTCATGTTTTAGTAAGCATTTAAATAATATTTATCTTATGGCATATAATCCCATTATTATTACTGATTGATATAATATATCACTAAAAAAGATAACTTATTTTCCAGTTAATTAACATAATGTCACGATAACTCTTAAAAGGACAATGAGTTCTGACATACATTTTTGTATATATCACGATGTAGGTATGTAAAATGGCTCCACACTTAGTATCGTACCTAAGCATTACTGTTCATGATATCTATGTAAATATGTAACTGCCTAAATGCGAATAAAATAAGAGAATATATCACTGCACATAATATTGCAGTTATTTTTCTTAAAGCTTATTTAGCGAGATTTCAATTTCAAATTTAAATACATATGTATACATATATCATAATTTTATGAAATAATTCATGTTATTATGATTGCTAGAATTGTATAGGATGTTAAAGAAAGAATGGAGAATTTGATAAGCTCTTTTATTATAGAAACATGCACACACTTCTTTTTAAAACTCTATTTTCAAATATCTTATTTATTATTATACATACAATAAAAAATATAGATTTATTGCTTTCATAATTGATCATTGTTTTTGGCAATATTAGCGTCTTTTGATAAATGTTCAAGCATAAGTTCAGAATATGTATAATGATATAAATTAAAGTATTATAACTGTTAAATTATAATTTTTTAGAAGAATGATTTGTACAATAATTTTCTTTTCAAAATTTTTTGGGATGAATGTATAGGGACTACTTCAAAGATCTTCTTGAAAGTATATTATTTTATGTATTTTGAAACATAAAAACTAAATCTGCTTGAAAAAATTGTTTGTTATCTCATTCGTTATATGATCGTGTTTGAATATAATAATTATATGGTACATACACAACAACATTGCTATAAATTTTAAAACAGAAAATAATATATCTTATAAAACAATAAAGTAACGAGTCTGTTGCAAAAAAGATGCTTCTATATGCTTGAAACATTTATACGTTTAACAATGCTTGGAACTATAGAGTTTAATCACCAGAATTGTTGCACGTTCTTGCCATTGATACGTTATATTTGTGCAGTATACCTGATTCCTTTCACTCTCGGTAGTTTTCTACGTGTTTACTTGCAGGCACTTATTCTAGGAAACTATGTAAGTCTCTTGATAATGTTAATATATTTGGCACACACACAGTGCAACTACGATCGCGCGGAGTTCACTTGATGGAACTATCGTACGTTTGCACCATCAATACGATATATTTGATTTACGCGTGATATGTGACGGTCACCTGATATTTTTCTCCGTATACCCAATATTTTTTTCGGCATTC